CTTGGTTGGTTAAGCATTCCCACTCTCAGTTTCAGCTCAGGTCATGATCTCAGGGTTGGGGGATCAAGCCCCATGTCAGGCTCTGTGCTCAGCAGAGTCCGCTTGAGATTCTCTTCCTCTCCCTCTCTGCCCCTCCCCCCCACACACGTGTTCTCTAATAAATCTTTTAAAAAGGGCGATTAAGAGGCACAAACTAGTTATAAAGGAGTCATGGGAATGAAAAGTACAGCATAGGGAATATAGTCAATGTTATAATAACTTTGTATGGTGACAGATGATAACTATACTTACTTTGGTGAGTATTTTCATAATGTAAATTGTTGAATCATTATGTTGTATACCTGAAACTAATATTGTAGGTCAACTATATTCCATAAAAAAAAAAAAAAAAAGTGGAGGTCTCACATGGCCTGATTTCCAAACATATTACAAAGCTACAGTAATCAAAACAGTGTGGTACTGCCATAAAGACGGACATATAGAGCAATGGAACAGAACAGAAAGCCCAGAAATCAACCTTCACACATATAGCCAAATGATGGACAAGGGTACCAGGAATGTTCAGTGAGGAAGTGACTGCACTTCAACAAATGATGCTGGGAAAACTAGGTATCCACATGCAAAAGAATGAAGTTAGACCCTTACCTTACATCATACAGAAAAATTAAAATGGATTAAAGATCTAAATGTAAGAATTGAAACAATAAAATTCCCAGGAGAAAACGGGAAAAGCCTCAGGACATTGGATTTGTCAATGATTTATTGGATGTAACACCAAAAGCAAAGGTTAAAAAAAAAAAAAAAACCTAGACAAACAGAACACATCAAACTTAAAAACTTCTGTGCATCAATGGGGTGCCTGGCTGGCTCAGTTGGCAGAACATGCAACTCTTGATCTCGGGGTCATGAGTTTGAGCCCCACTTTGGGCATAGAGATTATTTAAAAAAAAAAAAAAGCAAAAAACTTCTGTGCATCGAAGGGTACAATCAACAGAGTGAAAAGGCAACCTATGGAATGGGAGAAAATATTTACAAATCATATACCTACCTAATAAGGGGTTAATACCCTGAATATATAAAGAACTCCTTCAACTCAACAACAAAAAACCCAAATAGACCAACTAAAAAATGGGCCAAGGACTTGAATAGATATTAATCCAGGGATGATATACAAAGTCAACAAACGTATGAAGAGATATTCAACATCACTAATTATTAGAGAAATGCAAATCAAAACCACAATGAGATATCACTTTACACCCCTTATGATGGCTACTATAAAAAAAAAAAACAGGTGTTGGCAAAGATGTGAAGAAATTCGAACCTTTGTGTACTGTTGGTGGTAATGTAAGACAGTGCAGCCTCAGTGGAAAGCAGTATAAATAATTCCCCCCAAAATTAAAAATAGAATTACTATATGATCCAGTAATTCCACTTCTGGATGTATACCCAAAAGAACTGAAAGCAGGATCTCAAAGAGCTATTTATACACCCATGTTCAAAACAGCATGATTCACAATAGCCATGAGGTAGAAGCAACCCAAATGCCCATTGATAGAGGACTGGATAAACAAAATATGGGATCTACATATGAGGAAATATTATTCAGCTTTAAAAAGAACATCTTGTCACATGCTTCAACATGGACATACTTGGAGGACATTATGCTAAGTGAAATAAGCCAGTACAAAAAGACAAATACTGTATGATTCCACTTATGTGAGGTATCTGAACTAAGCAAATTCATAGAAACAAAGTAGAATGGTGGTTGCTAGGAGCTGGGGGGGAGCGGGGAAGAGGAAATGGGGATTTTTTTTTTTTTTTTAACAGATATAGAGTTTTAGTTTTGCAAGATGAAAAAGTTCTAGAGTTCTGTTGCAGAGCAATGTAAATATACCTAACGCTACTGAACTGTACACTTAAAAATAGTATGGTCAGGGGGCCTGGGTGGGTCAGTTGGTTAAGCGACTGCCTTCGGCTCAGGTTATGATCCTGGAGTCCCTGGATCGAGTCCCGCATCGGGCTCCCTGCTCGGCAGGGAGTCTGCTTCTCCCTCTGACCCTCCTCCCTCTAATGCTCTCTGTCTCTCATTCTCTCTCTCGCAAATAAAATCTTAAAAAAAAAAAAAAATAGTATGGTCAATTTTATGTTACGTGTTTTTTATCACTTTTTTAAAAAGGCAGGGGCGCCGGGCTGGCTCAGTCAGTAGAACATGCGACTCTTGATCCCAGGGTTGGGAGTTCGAGTCTCATGTTCAATGTAGAGCTCACTTAAAAAATAAAATCTTAAGAAAGGGGAGGGGGCAGATAGATGTCTCCAAAAGGTCCGGCTTGCCTATGAGTCTGAAGGTGAGGAGTTTATATGAAGAACAGGTATAGTGGTATTCCACCATGAATTATATTAGTTATAAATACTGAGGGGGCTGTTTTAGGGGAGGAAATAGTTTAATCTTTTTCACTGAAAGTAGAATATATAGCCTGCCATGGATAAAAAAAAATTTAAAAATTGTAAAAACACTTAGATCTTTAAATCGTTTTGAGAGATGAGCCCATCACACTATACAGTAAGGCATGTCCCCAGGGGATTTTGCTGAGTCCTCACCAGAGACAAGCCCCAGACTAGAAGGGCCCTACAAAAGTCTATTTCTTCCTGGAAATTTAGGTATTTTCTACTGGTCTTTGAGAGCCATCCAGTCTGGGGTACCTGCATGCCTGCCTTCTTCCCATCAGTCTTGGCATTTTGCAGGGTGAAGAGCCATTAATAACAGCTTTTCTCCAAGCAGAGTAGTACATCTACTTTTATTTCCAAATCTTCACTTGGCTAATATAGGGTAATGGTAATCTCAGTTTCTTTTGTTTTTATCATTTATTCAATGGCCAAACTTACCCTGCAAAGAATGGCAAACTAATAATCACCATCATGTTATTTATTGAGCACCTACTAACCACATCAGACACTGTGCTAGGCAATTTGCCCATTTAATGTTTTTTTTTTTTACCAAATTGAACTATAATAAAATATTCCCATTTTACAGTTGAAGCTAAAGAAATTAAGTTGTTTGCCCAAGGCCGAAGCAGGAGATAGCTAAGATTCAAACTGAGATCTGCCATATACCTAAGCCTAGACCCTTTCTAGGACATTATATTACCTCCCTAGTCACAGAAAATTACAATTAGGAAGGACGGTCTGGTCTGGTCATTTTATTTCAAATGAGAAGAAAGAGGTAAGATACTCCCTTTTCCACTTATTTTACTTATTTAATAAAGAGTAGATTGCCCAAAGTAGTCTTTTCTAAATGTTTCTGCTTACTCTTGCTCTTAATAAAACCAGAAAAATACTAGTACCTAACCAGAAAATTATTATTGGAGGATGTAAGAATTAGTACAGATGTTTATGTAGGAATGTGTTCCTCATAGTGTTGACCACCATTCTCCCCATATACAAAAATCTAATTTCTTCATTGCACAGTTCATTTAACTACTGAACTGACAAACACTTAAATTCCAGAATTGTTAAATTGGGATTTTAAGATTAGAACTGAAGTATTGACTAGAGAATAGAAAAAGTCATTTCCTTAGAAAAAATATGGATATATTTTCATCTTACATTTCTCGTAGCAGAAAGTACATTTATATTCATTTTTCCATAATACCTAACGAGAAAAAAATGCTTATTTCTTTTAAAATCCTTAGACTACTCCCTAAAATCAGTATCTGAAAAACTTTCAATATTTGCCAATACAGAAAAACAAATGTTCGTGTTTGTTACCACTGCTCAAGAATGAAGGAGACCTGACTTCCTGTTTCTGTTGTTAAGCGGCATCGTGTTAGAAAGAAGGAATAGGCAGGGGTTCCAGGAAGGTGTGATGACTCTGAATTCGGTTTAGAAGCTGCTGTGCCACAGGTTTGAATTCTGTTTCCCATTGGAGTTTGTGATAGTTTTTTAGGTCTCGGTCAAAACTGCCATCCAGTGCTAGTTCTTCATCTATATCGGAAAAATTAAAATTACAGCGATTATTCGGAAATGTAATCCTATTGGATAAAATTTAATTTTTGTTGGCGTAAGTTAAACTTATCCTGGGTCATTTCTGATTCCAATAGGACACAGATAATGATTTGGGGGTTAAAATGTTGTTTTATAGAAGGAGTTCTTTACTCTCTTTGGTGCTTTAGACTATACTTATTTTAAAATATTCATAATCTCTTAATAAAAAAGGACAATAATCTTCTCGAAAGAAAAAAATCCTAGATGGAATTGAGCTCTTATTTCAACTAATCCCTAAGTGTTTCTATGTAAGTGCACATCCAAAAGTCAGATCACAATTTCTCAGAAGAGACAAAATATTAATAGTTACTTCCTTATCTGCACATTAGAAAAGTTAATTATTTTAGCGATTGACAGATATAAAAGAAGTCAGGAAATCTTTTGGGAAAGTAGCACAGTTGAATTTGGCACTGTAAACTTGACTTGAAAATCAATTTTGCTGGCTTCAAAGTAGCCCCAACATGCTGCTTGGAAAAGGCAATCCCCCGTGCTCTTGCCAATAACAGTGAATAGTAGGAGACTCTGAGAATCCCAAGGAGTATTAGAATCCCAGTGACTCTATGTATAATGCAAAAAACACTAGTAAAAAAAAAAAAAAAAAAGCAGCAAAATTACAATCTTAGCTTGCTTCTTAGTCCAAGGGCACCCTGAGTTCTGCAAACACCGTAAGTATGTCCAACCCAAATAGGAAGATAAATGGCCACAAAGGTCTCTGTGCCAACCTGCCACGGCATTTTTACTTGTTTATATTGGGCTTCACGCCCCATGTGAAGGACTTCAGGAAAATGCACCAGCCTGCCACTCAGAAAATCAGCTCTACCACTTCCAAGGTCTGTGGCAGAGGCCGACTTTCTAAGTGGGAACCACGAAGCCCAAAAATGACCGCAAATATGGCTCCTTACATAACGAGCAAACTTTTTTTTCCCATGGGGCCAATTAAAATCCCATTATAAAATGCTTTATTACTGTCTACATCAAATTTTCTACACTATTTTCCTTGATCCTGTGTACTTTGGCACTGCTGGTGTTAGTGGAGGCACTCAGCACGAGATAAGGGGGCCTGGAATCCCCCGTTTGTCCCCTCCCTTCCCCCAAGCAAGAGCACAGCTATGTAGTGCTGAGAGAAGTTCTGCACAAACACTCCAGCAAGGTGCTCCACGGAGGCCCGGCGAGCAAACCTGGATCTCCCCAGCCACACGCTAACCAGGCCTTGACAGGAGGATGCAGGTGGCATTTGGTGCCTTCAAAGCCCTTCCCACCGGGCTACCTGCAGATAAGAGGAGCCTGAGAGACACAGCACTTTTGGATTTCTAGATCATCTTCTGGCTCACTCTTTTGCAGGTTTTCTGAGCACAGACTTCTATGAGACAATGAATTCTCTTATTCAAGAGGCTTGGCAGTTCCTTCCTCTGCCAGGGCTTTGGTTGGATTTAGTAGGTTTAGCAAATCTCGATTTGGCCGTTTTGGGGCTTTTTTCAATCTAAGGTCAAGACTGTATTACTTTTCTTGAGGTTTGGCCTAGAATTAGTTAATCCACACTTGGACCCTATTAATTTGTAAATCAGGTTAGACAAGATAACAAAAGTGGCCAAATAGCTACAGCTAAGAGAAAAGCAGTCTGCAGTTTCAAAGTAAATAGGCAAATACTTAAGAAAGTATTACATTTTGGAACTTGACTGCCAAGAATGGCAGAGGTGAATTGAGATCTGTGATTTTCAAACTCTTGACTGTGACCTAAAAAATACATATGTCATGACTGTACATTGTTACTTACAAACTTATGTACAAATAACAACTGTTTCACAATAGAATACTTCGCTTTACTACATGTGATATATTCTGGTATTTTCTTTCTTTGCTACTTCATTTTTTTAAAGATGCTGGACACAGCGTGAAGAGCACTGATTTAGATAACCAATCATTCTTAAGCTTTCTTCGTGCACAGCATACTTCTAATACTAAAATTTAAAGCAAGGTATTAGAAAGGTATAGAAAGGGGTAAAGAACTCAATACAAATTTCTCAGTGATCATTATATCACAATCTCTATTATAGCTTAAGTATCCTGTGGCATCAATAAAAGCTTCTCCTACTCACTACACTATCTTGCAGCTTGCGGTCAGCACCAGGTAGCTATTGAGGGTTTAATTATTGCCCTATTATAAGGCATAGTCTTCATGGTCCATGCTGTTTGGAATGGGCTTATTAGTGCGATTTTTAAAAAATTTATTTAAGTAATCTCTACACCCAGTGTGGGGCTCGAACTCACAACCCTGAGATCAAGAATTGGCTATCTTTGTGCAAGAACTGCAATTCAAGCCCACTCTCACCCCTCATATCCATAGGACTTGCTGCTGCCCAACTGGTCAGACACAGCTACAGCCCTGTCAGAAACAAGGGTCTGTGGAGGGAGAAACCAGGAAACAGCCCAGTCCTTAGGGTTTGTAAGGAAGGCCTTGTGATCACCTGGGAAATCCCTGACACACACACAGTGCCGGTTGCTTGGCTCCCTGATCATCTGGCTTTATTTTTGTTACCCACGCCACAGTCCCCTTCCAGGGGGTGGGTGGGGGGGTGGATTTAGAAAGTTAGCCAGTCCACAGGCATCTATCAAGGACCTTCGTATGAGGCAATATTCTTTCCCTAACGTGGCTCAACTAGAGTGGGGAAACAAGATCAAAGTTACAAAACAATAATACAGGAGAAGTTACACCGTTCATGATTGCTATTTAAGAAGTACAGATTTCCTACGACTAGACCATGGGCTTGAAAAGGGATGCGGAAAGGGTCTGCCGGGACAGCAGCACCTGGCTAGGCGGGTAAGGGGTACGGCACACGCAAAGGCTCAGAGGTTGGGGAAGCACAAGGAGAGGCCCAACCTGGTTCTAAGGGAAGGTTGATGGAGGGGGAGCAGGCACTGGGCCTACTAGAATGAAGCACCTGCCAGGTTCTGTACCTGCCGATGAGCTGACTGTGCCCACACCCGCTTCAAAGGGGCCCTTGTGTCCCACGCCCCGCCATTTTGCTATTATGGTTGACTGCCCTGGACCTAAGTGCAAAAGGAAGCCAGGGACAGCCTATGGTGGAGGCAGCTGCTGCCTAAGCCCTGAAGGCCCGATAGCCCCAGGGAGTGATGCACGGAACCAATCACACCTCTTCCCCAAATGGGAGACAAATAGAAGGTGAGCCAACAGCGGGGGAGACTCCTGCCATGGGCAGCAAGCAGCAGCCTTGAGCTACTTGGAGCCAGGCCCGAGCGGGAGCCTACAGGGACTTTGTGCAGACCAGCAGACACAGAGCAGAGTTGCGTCTCCAGCAGGGCGGAGCAGCTGACGGCCTGCTACTGTAGGGGTCAGTCGCGGACTCTGGTTTCATCCAGAACGACATTCCAGTGCCTCTCCAGCAGGCTTTGTGCAAGGTGCATCCTTCCCTTAAAGTCCTTCATTAACCAGGGGAGGGGTTCTCAAGCCTGGCTGCAGAGCAAACTCACCTGTGGGACTTTGGGGAAAAAAAAATGCAGACAATGGGCCTCACCCCAGAGTTCCTAAATCAGAATTTCTGGGAATGGGGTCAGGACAAGTGTGTGTTCTTTAAATTCCACACCTGATTCCAATGCTCTGCCACACCTGAGAACTGAATTAAGGCAAGTTGAGCACGGACTTCTGTTCCTGGCAACCTAAGAAAGCTCAGCGTTCACAGAGCACACTGTGAACGTCAATGATTTAAAATCATGTTCATTTTTTCTCACTCCTACACACACACAATTATTTTTACCGGGGAAAAAGCAAATTTCACATCAATTTAGCAATCCCAAGTCTTTCAGATAACTTCTGGTTCTGAGCTCCTGTTTAATAACATTGTTACAACACGTAGAATTTACAAAGCACCTTCACGGTCAGGCTGTGGGTCCCGGACTCTATCAGGCTCTCTGCATATATCTCCTCCTGTACCAGTCCAAAAACTCTGCAAAGTGCCCATTGATTGTCCCTAGCTTAGAGATGAGAAAATATAAATTTAGGGAGGTTAAGCCCAACGTCAAAAACTTAGGAGTGACTAAAGCAAGGTTTTAAACTCAGAACTGTCCGGCTATGGTCCTCTGGTCTTTTCCTGATGCACTCTATATGATCCTCACTACTCCCTGGAGCGAGGCAGGAATTACCATGTCCCCGTCGTAGATATGAAAAGACCGGTCCTGAAATTCTCTGGTCCAATCACACCACAGAAGAGCACGAGGGTTTGAATCCATGACTGCTAAGTCACACTGAGCCTCTCCACTTAGCCTTGCTGATCCAACACAGTGCCTGGGCAATGGTAGGGACATTGCCCCCATTTGGGGGAAATAATTATAGAAAATGCTCATTTACTTACTCAAACCATTGTTTTAGACTAACCCAGGATGAAAAAAAATTCTAAAAAACCTTCTTTTTTTTTAGTGTAAGAAACTATCCTTTTACCTTTGGTTTGTATCAGTGACTTCCTGCCTTTCAATGGTCTGAACCCCACTGTAATATCAAAATTGTTTCACAGATGCTCCTCCACATTATAATTAATATAGCTGCTAATTAAAATGTATGGATCTGGAGGCACCTGGGTGGCTCAGTCGGTTAAGCTTCTGACCCTTGGTTTCAGCTCAGGTCATGATCTCAGGGTTTTGAGATCGAGCCCCACATGGGGCTCTCTGCTCAGGGGGGAGTCTGCTTAAGATTCTCTCTCTCCCTCTGTCCCTCCTCTCCCCCGGTGCTCACTCTCTCATTCTCTTTCTCTCAAAATAAAGAATTCTTTTAAAAAAAATAAAATGCATAGATACATTAAAAGCATGACTTAATTCAGAGTAGCTTTTAGCCATATTTTCTCAATTGCAACATCTATATATTTTTAAACAATAGCAATAATTTATGCTGAAATATTGGAATTAGGCAGTCTATAAAAATGCAAAAAAAAGAAAAAGAAAAAGCGACAGAAATCATGACAGTATCCAATGAGTTAAACGTCCTTGTGTCCCCACTGTAAATAACATTCAGCCTCTTCCAGATATGTCCAAATTTACACAGCTACTCAAACACATACCAATCTTTATTCATGCAGGTCACAGAAAAAAAAAATTCTCTTATTCTGATAAAACCCACAGACTCACAGTCAGGAGTCTTACCTAAAAATGATGGCAGCAGGACTAAGAGCGTGTTGGTGTCTTCATCTCCAAAACACGATGAAGCATTGGTGATATTTTCACTGAAGTTCCATAAAGTTTTGCAAACCAAGCAGGCCAGCTGCCAATCGGTAGGACCAAAATGTCTTAAACAATCCACCAACCTGAGTTTTCAAAAAGTCAAATTGAGAAGTCATTAGGTCAGAATCTCTTTTTTGTATTTTTAGCATAATGATTATCCTTCTGCATTATTTAATATGTATTATATGTAATTCAGTGATTATTTTTAAAATTTTCACATCTACAAATTTAAGTAGCTACAAAGTAACAATAACCTACTTCTGAATTATTTTAAGAGGCCAGTGGAACTTAAATTCCCTCTTTAGCCATAGCTTGGCGGTTCCAAACGTTGAAATACCTCCACCCTGGGAGAATGACAAGAGGGACCCAAGCTCCCTGGGAAACTATGAGAGTCAGCACTCCACACCTTGAAACTTACTTTTTAATGCCGCCTCCTTCTTTCAGGATGACACGCTTGTCTTTATCCACAGTGAGATTTAGGAGAACACCACAGGCAGAAAAGCAAATATCCTGATGCTTAGCATCCAGCAGTGCAATCATGAACTTATGTACTGGGAGGGTAGAGAATAAATGCAGACCAGTAAAGCTCAGGGTTCCCAGATGTGCCTTATTTTACAAATGGTGGACCAATAAAGCTCAGGGTTCCCAGATGTGCCTTATTTTACAAATGGCAAAGGGGAAATGGGGAGTGGCTCACAAAACTGGAAACTCTGCTAGGGGACTTAATCCATTCTTCCTAAGGCTTTCGCCATGCCCAGCCTCGGGTTTGCCAACATCCACTGCATCTAGAATCTGCTCCCCATCCCAGGTCCTCGGTCCCCAAGTAGTGCTGTATCTGACCCAGGCAGCAGCTCCTTCTCCAGGGCAACGATACAGTCCCTTCTGGTAGAAAAGGGGGGGGGAAAAGTCTTAGGTCCAACCACACGGGTGGCATTCATCTCTAACATCTGATTCTTCTTAAGGGCCTTTTTGAACCTTCACCAGCAATTTTCTTTAAATACACAACCCCGGGGGAGGATTGTAGGCTCCTGTTGAGATCTTCTCTGAAGTCTTCCAGGGTTTGTAAGAGAAGACTTGCTCAGGGGGCTGGAAACCGGCCCGTAGCAAGGCAGGGCTTCCAGGGTAGAGGGCAGCTCAGGTCAAGACAGGCCCCCCACCTTTGGGAACCACTTTCCTTCACTTCTAGGAAATGGAACCCTTAGTCCTGTTTTCTTAACACCCCCAGCAGGGGCCAGGCAAAAGTTTGGGGGAGGTTGGATAAAGTGTGTCCTCTGCCTCCTCCTGTTCTCCCCCACACCTGACATGTGGCCATCCTGCTCTGACTTTGGTCCCATGGATCGGTCAGACACATATATGTGTGTGTTTCAGAGTCTAAAGAATGGGGGCGCCTGGGTGGCTCAGTCAGTGAAGTGTCTGCCTTTGGCTCAAGTCATGATCCTGGGGGTCCTGGCCTTCGGCTCAGGGTGTGATCCCCGGCACGGGCGGGGGTCCAGGGATCGAGCCCCGTGTTAGGCTCCCTGCTCAGTGGGGAATCTGCTTCTCCCTCTCCCTCTGCCCCTCCCCCCACTCATGCACACGCGCGCTCTTGTCTCTCTCTCTCAAATAAATAATCTTAAAAAAAACAAGATCTAAAAATGTACACCGAAACGTTAACAGTTTACACTCTCTGGGGGAGTGAGATGATGAGTGACAGTTTACTGCTGCTGATTCCCCCCCCCAATATCTGTATTATCTAAATTTGCTATCATGGATAATTAGGAATTTTTAGTTATTATTCTTACATGAAATATTTGAGACATATAGAGGATGGTTATTTGGGTACCCACCACCCAGTTTAAGAAATAAAATGTTATGAACCCAATTTTATATCTTTGGGCATCCCTTCCCCTCCAAAGGTGACTTCTGTCTTATTTCCAAATGCCATTTGTACCTTATACCATTACTACGTAAGTACGTTACATAAACAATACTCATGATTGTTATGCATGTTCTAAAACCTACTTAATGGCATTATTCTTTATCTACCCTGCTATCACTAGCTTTTTCGCTCCTGTATTACATGTTTGAGGCTGGTTCATGTTGATCCATGAACCTCTAGTTCATTTATTTTAATTGATGTAGAACTTTTTTTTTTTGTAAGTAGACTCCACTGCCCAGTGTGGAGCTCAAGGCAGGGCTTCAACTCACAACTCTGAGATCAAGAGCTGAGCTGAGATCAAGAGTTGGACGCTTAACCAACTGAGCCACCCAGGCCCCCCGATATAGAACTTTTTGTTGTGTGAATGTCATAATGTATTTACACTTAGGCTTTTTCCATTTTTTGCTATTACAAGCTGTACTGTTATGGACATTCTAGTACATGAAGGAGAATGTCTCTTGAGTCCGTTCTCAAGGACAGTAACGATGACTGTAGATTACTTGTTTCCCTTACACACACACACACACACACACATGCCGTCTCAGAGCTCTGAAGACCACACACAGTTGAGAGAGGAACAGGGAGAACACTGTCCAGGTCTATCTCGGCATGCGGAGCTGAAGGCCGTAAGCACGGGTGGAGGGGAATGTAAAGCACTGCTCGTCCGAGGGCGGAAACAAGTTGTCATGACCCACGCTCAAAACTGCTTAGCTGCTTACTGGCAAGAAGAACATGCTTATGAACATTAAGTGTCATCAACTCACCATTTTTCTGCACAATGAAATCGCAGATGTCCTGGTCCTGGGAGAGGTTTCCAAAAACACGCACAGCCTCTAGGATTCCATCCATGTTATTACTCACAAGAAGCTTTATGAGCACTGGGTTTGGGGACCAGAGACATAAAATCAGTGAATTTAACTTTTAATTTCAAGGCTGTTAGACATCAGCATCATACTAAATATCAGTAACTCAAAATTTTAAAGTGACAATAAAACACAAACTATAAGGGACTTTAGCAAGAACTAAGACCCTACCTTTCCCCCATATTCTGATTTCTTAGAATCAAATTGGGCTCTTTGATATTGTACAAGAAATCAGAAAATATGAACGACACCAGTTCTGTGTTTCGTTAATAAAGTCGAAATCTTAAACAAACATTCATCTACCCAAACCCAATTCTGAACCTTACATTCAGCAATATATAGCTTTTTGTCTTGAATTATGGAATTCTTCACTTGGTAGTAAGATAAGTTGTTGATTGTGGCCGTAGTATTGATCACCAGCTCCTCACAATCCTCAATTGACTTGTGTTCTGAAAGAAAGTGAGGAAGAATGTATGGAAGACTCATCGCTGGGGCAGAAACATGACCTCCTAACTGTCCCAGCAGCAGCGCCAGGGTCAAGCCGTTATCCCCAACGAAGTCCGTGCAGGGACATTGTTTCCTGCTTTACTTCCCAGGACTCTCCCTGCAGGGAAATGCACCAAACACAGGGGACCACTCCTGACCAGGTTCTAGAACACTCTAAGCTCAATCCCTCCACAGGGGGTCTGGAAAAATTGGGCTGATCTAGGTTCTGTGATTATAGTCAAATGAAGGTGCCAACACACCGGCAAGCCAAGCTGTGTCTCATCCCCACTGGTTTGCAGTGTTCCTGAGCGCTCCTGGGTGCTCTACCCTGTGAGTCTCTTCCTCACTCCTCTACCTCTCAGCAGAATGACCCTTAGGGCATCATCTGTCCATAACTCCTATCCATGCTGCCCTCCAAACACACAGAATCTGATCACTTCTCACCTCTTCTACTACCACCTGGCCCATCCCTCACCTCATAACTGGCTTCTCTTCTTTCACCTTCCTCCCTGAGTCTATCCTTAACACAGCAATCCTTTAATAGTAAGTCAGCTAACATCACTTGTCCTACTTTGGCCTCAGGCCCTACCTGGGCAGCCCCAGTTCTTTTTCTGGGGGGGGGCACAGAGGGAGAGGAAGAGAGAGGATCTTGAGCAGGTTCCACGTCCAGCGTGGATCCCGATGCAGGGCTCGATCTCACGACCCCCGAGTTCATGACCTTAGCTGAAATCGAGAGTTGGATGCTTAACCAACTGAGCCACCCAGGCGCCCCTGGGCAGCCCCAGTTCTGATATCTCAGGTCTCATTTGCTGTTCCAGCCCTCAGGTCCCCAGTGCCAACCACACTGGTCTTCTTGCCCTTTTTTTTTTTTTTTAACATATCAACATGATCCTTCCTGTACCTTTGCACTGCTATTCCCTCTGTCTAGAATATACTGTTTCCAGTTATCCACTTGGTCCACTCCTCACATCCTTCAGGTTGTTGTTTGGACGTCACCTTATTGAACATAGTTTCCTTAGCCTCCCTACATAAAATAGCATCCATTACTCTCTTTCCCCATCCTCCTTTTATCTGCTCCAGAGCACACGTAATTATCTGACCTGTTATGTGTTTAACATTTGTTTTCTGGTCCTAACATGTAAGCTCTACGAGACTTGGGATTGGTCTGTTTTATTTATTGTTGCATTCCCAGCAGCTAGAACAGTCTGGCACATAGGGGTGCTCAATAAATAGTTGCTGAATGCACCAATGAGTGAAGGATTGAGCTCTTACTCAGCACATGAGACCCTCAGTGAGTTGTCCCTGCCTTTCACTCAGCCTCCAGACTCACCTCCTGGCAGATGTAGAAAAGCCAGTTAGGAGCCCTAGTTCCCTCCACCTCCAGACTGATGACACTGGACCCAGGGCAGTGTTCGGGAATCTGGTTTTTTTCTCTTGCCTTGGGAGGAAAATTCATTAGCTCATCCAGGAAAGGAAAGGGTAGCTCTTCTGTAGCACCACCTTCTGTATGGTGTCTGGCATCTAGGGCAAGAGGGTAGGTACCCACAGCTACTAGGCATCCATCACAACAGCATCAAGAGCTGTGCGCGCACTCAGCTCCACAAAAGTAAACGATTAATAATACTTCAAATGCACTTATAAGCATTTGAACCTACAATAATTCATACTCGAAAGGTGCATCTGTCTCAGTTCAGGCCACCATAACAAAATACCACAGATTTGGGGCTTAAATAACAGAAATTTCTTTTCTCAGAGTTCTAGAGGTTGGAAGTTGGGGTCAGGATGCCAGCGTGCTTGGGTTCTGGTGAGAACCCTTCCTGGCTTACAGATGGCCACCTTCTCGCTGTGTCCTCATATGGTGGAGAGAAAGCAAGGACAAGCTCTCTGGCGTCTCTTCTTATAAGGACGCTAATCCCACCACGAGCACCCTAGCTTCATGACCTTGTCTACACCTAATGATCTCCCAAAGGCTCCATCTCCAAATACTATCACACTGAGGGTTAGGGCTTCAACATATGAAGCTGAGGAGTGGTGGATACAATTCAGTCCATATTAACCTCCTAATATCCCATTCTACATATGAGACCACTGAGGCTGAGCGGCGTTAAATAGAGGCCTGACTTCATAGAACCCACATCTGAATTGGGTGTTTCTGACTCAACCATCTGCTCTTTCCGTTGCATCTTCCTGAGTGCCCACTAGAGCCACCTTGGGCAATCATTTGCTGCCAGAGGGCTGGAGAGAATCACACAGCCCTGTGCAGCTGGCTCACGGATGTAATCAGTCTAGAGTTTGGAGCTTGCCGCTAAGGCAGCAAATGTCTAAATCTGGGAGCTTGCTGGAAGGGCTAGTCCTTATTAGAAACATTTTTTTAAATTTTCTTTTTTATTTTTATTATTTTTTTAAAGATTTCTTATTTATTTGACAGAGAGAGACTCAGTGAGAGCAGGAACACAAGCAGGGGGTAGTGGGAGAGGGAGAAGCAGGCTTCCCACCAAGCAGGGAGCCCGATGCGGGGCTCGATCCCAGGACCCCGGGATCATGACCTGAGCGGAAGGCAGACTCTTAATGACTGAGCCACCCAGGCACCTTTTTTTTTTTTTTTTTAAATACCCTCTGCAATGAGACTGGCCTCTAGAGACAAGTCCTGGGGTTCCAACTCCTCGGGCCTCATGTCCTGTGTACGCCTTGCTGTTGGCGCTTATCATCAGTTTCCTGTCCAAACACCTGCCATGCCTCCACCATAGACTTGGAGCTCCTAGAAAGCAGACACTACATGTTTTTAAACCTTGTTATGCACTGAATGTTGGCGTTCCTCTCCAAATTCATATGGAGAAGCTCCAACGTGAAGTCACCCCCAGTGTGACTGGATCGGGGGCGAGGGCCTGCAAGGAGGTGGTGAAGGGTTAAATGCGTCATCAGGATGGGGCCCTCATCCAATAGGGCTCCTACCCTTACAAGAGGAGGAAAGTAGCATCTGCTAGCCAGAAGGAGCATCGTCGCCAGATGCCAACCCTGCTGGCACCTTGACCTTGGGCTTCCAGCCTCCAGAACTGTGAGAAAATAGATGTCTGTTGTTTAAGCCCCCCGTCTCTGGTAGTTTGTTATACGGAGACTGAGCAGGCTAAGATAAACCTCCTTTAGCATAGGACTTATTGCACACTAAGGACTCAATATGGATCTTAATGAAGAGCAGGAGGCATAGTTCAAAGGCTACCCCAAAACATCATTTTCATCAGGTAGTAATGTTTCTTACAGCAAGAGAATCTTCCAGAGCTTGGTAAGTCATAGCTAAGTTGATCACTCTGTGCAGCAGTTAATTTCCCTGCTCACTGGTGGCCAGGGATGCCTGCGGGAAATGACAAAGCCTAAAAAGTGGAAGGGGGTGCTATAGACTGAATTATGCCCCCTCCCCAAAATTCCTATGTTGAAGCCCTAATGAAACTGTATTTGGAAATACAGCTTTTAAGGGGTAATTAAGATTAAATGAGGTCATAAGAGTGGAATCCTTATCCAGTAGGGCTGGTGGCTTTTATAAGAAGAGGAAGGGGGACACCTGGCTGGCTCAGTCTTTAAGCGTCTGTCTTCGGCTCAGGTCATGATCCCGGGATCCTGGGATCAAGCCCCACATCGGGCTCCCTGCTCAGTGGGGAGCCTGCTCCTCCCTCTCCCTCTGCCTGCCACCCCCCACTTGTGTGTGTGCCCTCTCTCTCTCTCTCACAAATAAATAAATTTAATTTAATTTTTAAAAAAGAAGAGGAGGAAGAGAGCGAGAGCGCATGCTCTCCGAGGGCGCACACCAGCAGAGGCTGTGTGAGGCCACAGTGAGAAGGCAGCCATCCCCAGGCCAGGACGACAGACCTCACCAGAACCCAGCCATGATGTCAGCCTGATCTCAGACTTGTGGGCTCCAGAGTGTGAGGACATGCATCTGTTGCTGAAGTCACCCAGTCTATGCTGTTTTGTTATAGCAGCCTAGCAGACTGGGATGGGTGTTGGTACCACGAAGTGGGGTGCTGCTGTAACAAGGACCTAGAAGTGTGGCATCAGCTCTGGAGCCGGGGATGAGGGAGGCTGGAGGAGTCCGAGGTGCATGCTAGAAATGAGAAATGTTAAAGGCATTTCGGGTGAGGGCTCAGAAAGAAAAGAGGAGAGCTGGAGAGAAAGCTTCCATCTTCTTAGGGAACACATCAGTAATCATGAACAGAACGTTGGTAGAAATATGGACATAAAAGGCCATTCTGGTGAGGTCTCAGATGGAAATGAGGAACAGATTACTGGAAACTGCAGGAAAGGTGATCGTTGTTGTAAGGGGGCAAAGAACTTGGCTGAACTATGTTTGCAGTCTAGTGTTTTGTGAAAGGTAGAACTTGCAGGCAACGATATTGGATATTTAGCTGAGATTTCTAAGCAAAAGTGTTTGAGGAGCGGCTTGGCTTCTCCTGACAGTATAGTAAAACGTGAGGAGAGAGAGATGAATTGAAGAAAGAATTGTTAAGCAGAAGGAACTAGAACCTGAAGATCTGGAAAATTTTCAGTCTATCCCTATGGCAAAAAGTGCGGAAGCATGTGCTAGAGGGAACCAAGCGTGCATCTGGAATATCCATCAGTTCAGAGCTTCTGGGATTCCATGGGCAGGAACATGGCCAGTTTGAACGGAAAGGCTCTGAGACAGGAAGCTATCCATGTGTGTGACAGGACAGGAGGAGAGAGCTATTGGGCTGTGAGTGGGCATTATTCTTCCAGAAGACTGGAAATGACCCAAAGGGGAGTGAGAGGTCACAACCAGGGCCACTGCCTCGGGTTCAACAGGCCAGACACCTTCACCCCGAAGCCCTGAGGACGAGCCCAGCTTGCAGAACCCCGGCACCCTGACTGACAGAGATGTGGAAGCCGGACCACTGCCCCCGTGGGTCTGGAAGGCAGAACGCTGAACCAAAGAAGATTGCTTTCAAGTCTTAAA